AAAGAGTGTGGCCCTGGTCTGAGCCTGACCGCAGAAAAAGTGCTCCCGGCCCCAGAGCCCGTTGGAGCTACGAAACTCACCTCCATCCAGCAGCAGCTTGACCGTCAGGTAGTCATCAGCCAGCACGGCGTAGTGCAGAGCTGTGCAGCCCTTGAAATTGGCCCGGATGTTCAAGCGGTTGTTGAAGTCGTCCTCCCGGGTCACAAGGACTGCAGGGGGAAGAAGAAGGAAAGCTCAGCTCAGCGAGACAAAGTGAAGAACTGCTTCACGTGCACCAGCAGCAGGGACCACCAGCAAGGGTCGGGAGGCTTCTTAAGGACCTAATGGCCTTTTCCAGGGACCATCAGGACCCCGGGGGGGTTCTGGTGGCTCCAGACCCCACTCCACCGGGCTAGCAGTGGCGATGAGGACAACGTGGTTTCCACAAACCCCAGCGACTGCCTTCACAGTGCCCGGGGCGCCCAAGAGAAGACCTGCCAGCCCCTTTGCTGCTTCGAAGTGAAATCAGGATTCCACACAAGCGAGCAATAGAGACTTCGGCCTTTTTTTATTTCCCCTTCTACTGCCCAGAAGGGCTCCAGAACCGCTCAGTGCTTCCTCCGCACCACCTTGCCCGCCAGGCCCCAGCAGCCTGCACCTACCTAAGGCTGGAAGCACAAAGCACCAAAGCCTACGAGCTGTAATTCAGAGTAAAGAGCCGGAGAGGCTGCGGGGCAAGAGCGCTGCGGGCCCCGGGGCCAGCAGCCGGCTGGGAACGCCCAGCGGATCTCCCCGCAGTCAGGCTGAGCCTCCCGTTCCCCACCGCTCCGATCGCTCACACACCCGTCTCCGCCAGGAGCTGCCGCCTCCCTCCCACACTTCCCAAAAACGTTGAGAAGCAGCCATTTGAAAGCAGGAATTCTTCTAAAAATGTGAACTGAAAATTAATGCACGCGGAGGTGCTGCGGAGCGTGGCCCTCAGCTCAGCTCTGCTCCTGGCCTTGCCCGTCCGCCCGCCGGCTTCGGGCTGGCGTGGGCACCGGCTGCTCCCGGAGCGCTCGCTCTGTCTTTGCTTAGCCACCGCGGGCTCCGCGGGGCGTATCCCTCGACACTACCGGGATGGGAATAATTCATGACGACGCATTTCACAGCTCACTAGGAAGCCTGGAATCCCCTGAGCAAGCGCAATTACACCGAGCCCTGGCAGGTTTTGTGAAATCAGCCCTAGAAATGGTGATATTTCTGTGAACAGAAACTGATGCTTTCCAAAGCCGATTAATAAGAATTTTTTTCTTCCCTTGAGCTCTGTCCTACTGAACGCCAATGTGCACGGATACACGGGAGAGCCCAATGACTGGTGCTTGCAGGCCAGAGCAAAGCTGGGCCAAGGCATTCCCAGGGGGGCGGGAGGTCCGTGCGGTGAGACAGAGACACCGAAACACGCGACCTTCCAGATCAGGCGCAAAATCAGCGTCTGGACCGCAAAGCTGGAAAATCAGGGGAGGGGGTGACTCCGCCACACTGGGCACTGTCAGGCCTCAGCTGGATGGGGTGCTGGGCCATCTTGTCTGGACTGGGCTCTTGCCTAGAAAGGTTGGACCAGATGATCATGGAGGTTCCTTCCAGAAAGGTTGGGCCAGGTGATCATGGAGGTCCCTTCCAGAAAGGTTGGGCCACATGATCCTGGAGGTCCCTTCCAGAAAGGTTGGGCCACATGATCCTGGAGGTCCTGTCCAGAAAGGTTGGGCCAGGTGATCCTGGAGGTCCCTTCCAGAAAGGTTGGGCCACATGATCCTGGAGGTCCCTTCCAGAAAGGTTGGGCCACATGATCCTGGAGGTCCCTTCCAGAAAGGTTGGGCCAGATGATCCTGAAGGTTCCTTCCAGAAAGGTTGGACCAGATGATTGTGGAGGTCCCTTCCAGAAAGGTTGGGCCAGGTGATCCTGGAGGTCCCTTCCAACCCGGGATTCCATGATATGATTGATCAAGGGAAGGCACTGGATCAAAGTGGCGTATGGAGGCAAAGGCTCTCCGCAGGGGAGCCAGCACCACTCCAGCTCCAAGCCCAGCTCTCCCCAGATCTGTCCCCTTTCCGCAAGATGCCGGCAGGAGCCGGTGAAGTGACAGATTCGTACGCCGGAAGCCAGCTGACACGCAGGCAATGCACCGTGGCCAGCAGGTCCGGCCGTGACATTCCCACGTGGGCATGGGACACCTCTAAGATGGCACCGAAAGGCATCACCCTTCTCTGCTGAGTGCAGCTCCGACCATCCCCGATCACAGGCAGCATTTACGCTCAAGCTTAGGCTCAGCCACACAGTGGGAGAGGTGAAATCCCCCCACCGCTGGTGCTCGGGCGCTAATCCAAGACCTGGTGTTCAACGCCGTTTCTGTAACAGGAGGGAATATTCTCCCGAGCCCAGAGAAACTCGCTCCCAATACTCAGGCTGACTACAAGGCAGTGGTGACTTCGGCAAGCTGAGACAGGAGAGGACGCTGCCCCACCACCGCTTGGCTTTCAAGCAAATTCCGAATTCTGGGAGTCTCCAGCAGAGCCGCCCCCCGCGTCTGGGCAGGGCCCCAGCACCCTGCGCGGGTCCGCAGCACCCACACTCGTCCGCAGCTGGCCTAAGGGTCAGGCTTTAGGAAAGCTCCTGGGTTTTAAGCCCTTTGCTGTAGTCATCAGCAAAACTGAACAGGGTGGGAAAAAAAAAGAGTGGGTTTTTTAGGTGTGGAGGGAAATAAGGACACCAGGCTGCTGGTTAGCCGGGAAGGGAGAGTGAGGGGAGCAGAGAGGGCACCTTCACAGCATCGGTCCTGAGAGCACTCAGCGCACTAGAGAGGAGCCCGACCTAAAGCCTGGTCTTAGGTCGGGCTTTAGGACAGTCCAAGCCAGCAAAGAGGTCGAGTATTCCGTAGGCAAGAGCGCGACATGAGCACCGCTCTCGGGGCTGAAGGGAGGGCAGATCCCTCTCCCGTTTCGGCAGTCACCACCTTCCCTGGCGCTCTGACCAGCCAGGGGATGCCATCGCCCAGGGCCGCGGGTTTGACAGCTACTGCACTTTACATGGGGTTTTTGAGGAACGGGAGGCTGTCATGGCCATTCCAGCGTCAGGGGAATCCAGCAGGATTCCTCCGGTTAATCCACCCCTCTCCCTGCGGGGGGGCCGGGCAATAGGGCCAGGCCTGGCCACAACCCTTCTCCCCAAGCTGGGGAAGTGAGGAAGCCCCACGAGCGCGCAGCCCTGCCACGGAGCCTGGGCGACCCAACGCCACCCAACCGGTGGGGCAAACTCCGCCCCGGAGGCGTGTGCGGCTCCTTGGTGAGCGGGCCGATAACCAAAACTCAGTAAGCCCACGGTCAGGGACCGTGCCGTCGAGAACCTGGAAGGGCTCCTCGCTCCTCGCACTTTGTCGCAGCACGGCAAGCAGAGCCGGACGGTGGAACCCCCGCAGCGCAGCCTCCGCGGTCCCTCCTAAGAGCTACTGACAGATTTCCAGAAGACTTGAAAAGTTGGGAAGAGAAAAACACTGTCATGAATACCTGATGCCGTCCTAGCCCAGCATCTCCGCTAATGAACCGCAGTACCTCCAGGAAGATCAATTAATGCCCTGGCTCCGTTCCTTTCCTGGGTCTTTCCTCCCAGCGTACGGGGTGAGTATGTATATTTATTTATTTGTCGTCATTTCCTACCCAGGGAGGAGCAGGATAATGAACTGCGTGCGTCAGGGAAGATGAATCTGAGATACTAGGGAGCAGTGCAGTAAAGAGATTAAAGTGTTATTATTGTTGGGTTCTTTCCCCCATGGTCCGTTGTGACAGCTCGGCCGTCATCTGTAAAAAATGTCTCAGAGAGAGATAATCATCGGAAACTCAATAAAGCGTCAGGGGAAGCCTCGTCTACCATCAATCACCGGGTGCCTGGAAATTTTCAGCCCTCTGTCTCCCTTCCTGCCATCCATATAAATGTCTGTAATATATTTTGTGCAGTGTTTGTGGAGCGTACCCTCTCGATTCGGATGCTTTTATGAAAAAATATTTATACACGAAATATGTAAATGGGTAAAAAAAAAAGTAAAAAACAAAGGCAGTTTCTCTCCCTCCCTCTCTTTTTAAAAATGCAACTGAATTTATTCTTTTTAATAAAACATGTCAAGCAAAGAATTAATGCAACTTCTTACTGAGCGGCCTGATCTGTTCTTCACCCCCAAATATATAACGTTACTGAGGGACGGATGCAGACGAGAACAATTAACTTCACTGCTTGATACACTTTGTCTTAAATAAAGTCTACGCACATGCATTATGTATTGGCATTCCATCGTTCATTTTTTAACGTCGCTTCATCCACTTTGCATTCGCGGCTACAGCGCTCCGATGCACGTGTGTTCTCCCTTCCACCGAGGAGCAGGGGTGGGTGACGGCGAGGGACAAGAGCGGCGAGCTTTTAAAACTAAAATAGCGCCCTGCCAAAGCTGTCCCCTCCCCGGCTCCTCTTCTGAACCCAACCCGCGCCGTACGGAAGGTTCAGATACGGCGCTGCGTCAGACAGAATCACAGAATCACAGAATCACAGAATCGTAAGGGTTGGAAGGGACCTCAGGAGATCATCTAGTCCAACCCCCCTGCTAAAGCAGGCTCACCTAGAGCATGCTACACAGGACTTCATCCAGGCGGGCTTTGAATATCTCCAGAGAAGGAGACTCCACAACCTCCCTGGGCAGCCTGTTCCAGTGCTCTGCCACCCTCAGAGTGAAGAAGTTCTTCCTCATATTCAACTGAAACCTCTCGTGTTTCAGTTTGCATCCATTGCCCCTAGTCCTGTCGCTGGACACCACTGCAAACAGACTGCTTCCGTCCTCTTGACTTCCGCCCTTAAGATATTTGTATGCGTTGATGAGATCCCCTCTCAGTCTTCTCTTCTTCAGGCTGAACAAGCCCAACTCTCTCAGCCTTTCCTCGTAGGGGAGATGCTCCAGTCCCTTTATCATCCTAGTAGCTCTCCTCTGGACTCTTTCTAGGAGTTCCTCGTCTTTCTTGAACTGGGGAGCCCAGAACTGGACACAGTACTCCAGGTGGGGTCTCACCAGGGCAGAGTAGAGGGGGAGGAGAACCTCCCTACGAGGTCAGCTGGCAGCACTGACCGGCGAGGCAAAGAGCACGGCCAGCCCAACGGATCACCTCACGCCCTGATTTTGGCTCTGCAAGGCGCGCAGGGCAAACGGAGGCTCTGGGTAACCCCTGTGCCTTCCCGCGGCTTTCTCCTGACAGCAGCTAGGAAAAGGTTTAACTTCAAAGCAGAAGGCGAGAGCGCCCAAACGCAGT